CGCGTACTTGGCAAGGCGCCAGGGTCACGGCTGAAGACTGAGTAGGCGAGCTGGACTGCTGGAGTACCAAACCTCAATTGCGTTCCCCAGGCTTGGACTCAGGAAGCGGCCGGTGCCCTTTCACGCGCAGCACGCCGAGACGCGCTAGCTTCCGCCATGTGGGCTCGCGTGGGCTGCCAGACTATCCCAACTAAAGCAACGCTCCACCGTCCCGATATGGGTCATTGGTCCTTTGCGGGAGCAGGAACGCGACAGGGTTGCGGTTGCCGCTTGTCCTTATCTTTTTGGTGCGGCACCGTCTTAGATACACTCCAGGCCCTGTAATACAATTCACTCAACTTAAAAGCTCGCTTCGCCGTCACCAGGCTACTGGGCAGTGCCATACGTCGATCCTTTCGCTGCGTGGTCAACTCTCAACGACATTACCGTTACCCTCGCAGCTGCCATCTCCAATTCTGCGATTGCCCCCCGCGGAGATCGCTGAAATTTCTGCAACATGGCCGGGCTTCTACACAAGCTCAATGTCGCTGTCGCGAGCTCAATCGTCGGCAGATACTTTCGTCTCGAGGGTTCTGGTCACGTACGTACATGGTCAGTTGAGATTGACAAGATGTACTGACAACATACATAGCCCAAGGAGCGAAAGGGGAGTCTCTTCACTACAGAGTTCCGCGCTGGTCTGGCTACTTTCTTTGCCATGGCCTACATCATCTCGGTGAACTGTATGTTCACAATATCTGGCGCTGAAACCCCGTATCTAATCACCATGTAGCCTCGATCGTGTCCGACACTGGTGGTACATGCGTGTGTCCAGGACTCCCAGATGACCCTGTTTGCAATACCAACGCCGAATACGCCCTTTGTGTCCAAGAAGTCAAGCGGGATCTTGTAACCGCTACAGCTGCCATTTCCGCCCTGACCTCGTTTTGCATGGGTCTGTTTGCAAACATGCCCATTGCCCTGGCTCCTGGAATGGGACTCAACGCTTACTTTGCTTACACAGTAGTCGGATTCCATGGTACTGGTACGTCAAACATTGTTTCCCATCCCTGTGGAGCCATCGCTCGCCTTCCCAATCAGGACTGGCCGTAGTCGTACCGTGAAACGTTGCTGATCAGTTTCCAGGCATGGTTCCATACGAGGTCGCACTTACCGCCGTCTTCGTTGAGGGTTTCGTCTTCGTGGGTCTTACTATCCTTGGAATTCGACAGTGGCTTGCCAGGTATGTTATCAATTTCCCCATTGTCCAACATGTCACTGTCGTGTGACGGTGTCACAGCTTGATCGGCAGGATCTGCTGTACAACCCATATCTGCCTGACAGATCGACAACCCCTTACAACTTACTAACGGTATCCAGGGCTATTCCCGCTAGCATTAAGCTTGCTACCGGTGTGGGTATTGGACTCTATCTGACCATCATCGGTCTCGCATACTCTGCTGGTATCGGCCTGATCACCGGAGCTCAGTCCACCCCATTGGAACTTGGCGGATGTCTTGCCTCGCAGCAAGTCGATGGTGTCTGCCCAGGAGGAGTCAAGATGAGGAGCCCAACCATGTGGATCGGCATCTTCTGCGGTGGTATCCTCACCGTTATGCTCATGTTATACCGCGTCAAGGGTGCGATCATCATTGGTATCCTCCTCGTCTCCATCATCTCCTGGCCACGCACAACTAGTGTCACCTACTTCCCCCACACCGAGACTGGCGACTCAGCTTTCAACTTCTTCAAGCAAATTGTCACCTTCCACCCGATCAAGAAGATCTTGGCTGTTCAGGAATGGAACATTTCGGAGCACGCTGGCCAGTGGGGTCTTGCGTTCGTCACCTTCCTCTACGTTGACATTCTCGACAGTAAGTGCAGACTATATCATCATTCAGTTTACATACTAACATCCCTAGCCACTGGTACCCTTTATTCCATGGCCCGTTTCTGTGGCGCCATCGATGAGCGTACACAAGACTTTGAGAACTCGTCCATCGCATACTCTGTCGACGCTATCGGTATTTCCATCGGTTCGTTGATGGGCTGCCCTCCGGTTACAGCATACATCGAATCCGGTGCTGGTATTTCCGAAGGAGGCAAGACTGGTCTTACTGCCATGTTCACTGGTATCTGCTTCTTCATCTCCATCTTCTTCGCGCCCATCTTCGCCTCCATCCCTCCTTGGGCTACTGGCTGCACGCTGGTGATCGTCGGATCCCTCATGGCCACATCCGCCAAGGACATCAACTGGCGATACCTCGGCGATTCCATCCCCGCTTTCCTCACCATCGCCATCATGCCTTTCACATACTCCATCGCCTACGGTCTAATCGCCGGTATCTGCACCTACCTCCTCATCAACACGACTGTTTGGCTCATCGAGATTGCTTCTGGCGGCCGTATCGTGCCACCCAACAAGGACGAGAAGGAGCACTGGACATGGCGTCTCGAGGGAGGCTTCCTACCCCCATGGGTGCAGAGGCTCACGAGCGGAAAGAAGGATTTCTGGAACGGCAACCCGGAGACTGTAGGCGTCTCGGAGCGTCACAGTGGCGAGGACTCGGTCCACGACGAGAAGGACTATGTCACGGATAAGCAGGCTTGATTTGCACTTGCGTGTCTGTTTTCAGCGTGCGACTGCACTTTGTTTGCTTTTTCAGAGAGGCTGAAACAGACCTCTATTTCCATTGCGGGTTTTTTGCATGGCGTAGTTTGTCGGTCGAGCCGCTTGTACATGGACGGACGTACGGCTCAGGCTGAGCCTTTAGGGCTTCGATTATATATACCCTCACTTGTGTTATTAACTGTACTTCACACTGACCACTTACCCCGCGTTCCACATTCACGTCCCGTTCTGACCTCATGTGATTTTACCGTATAATGCCGAATTTTTATTGTGAAGAGGCGCCGCCATGGCTCAAAGCCACCCAGTCCATGACATGTGACAACTCCACCTCACACCAAAGCGTCTAGAATTGTCAGCCGACAAACCGGTACGTACCTACGGCTACTGTGCCTGCGCAAACACATGCCACAAGCCACAGATCGGCAATCGGACCACATCGGGGCGGTCGCTTGGCAATAGCCCCGATGCAGGGCGTGAACCGGCCGAGGTCCCCCTCCAGTCACGTCGGAGACGGCGGTTCCGCAAGTGCAACTACCTCTCTTCCTAACACACGTCGAGTATTTTAAACTGGAGATTCCCTAGACACGCGACTTTGAAAAGTAATATTAAAGAGGGTCTTTTTTTTGGCTTTACTCAGAGACGAAGAAACTTGTGTCACGTTACAGAGAAGAAGTCGGTGTTCCGAACTTACCCCCCCAGCCCCTCCGACGTCCGACCAACGCAACGAACGGCAACAAGCGGATAATCAAAGTTGCTTACGACATTCCTTTCTAAGCAAAAGAGCTAGTTATCTTGCGCGAGTGTTGTGAGAAGCACGACATACGGCGACACAAGACGCGGTGTTTGTGGAACCCTGACAACCTTTTTATATTTTCCCTTTGCTGTCGCGAGAGAAAAAAGAGGAGGAGAGAGGAATTTAGAAGGCAAAAAAAGAGACATCAAGGAATCATGCCTGCAGAGCAACAAAACGGCCTCCCAGTCAACGGCACAAACGGCGTCAACGGCAACATGACAAACTCTACACCCTCACATCCCGCCTTCGACTCGATACCAGATGTCATACAAGCTTTCGGTGAGTCCCCCCTCTCCTCTCCACCCCGCCATCCAACCCTCACAAAACTAACCCCTCCTCCCCAGCAAACGACGAATTCGTAATCGTACTCGACTCGCCCTCGCGCGAAAACGAAGGCGACCTAATAATCGCCGCATCAGCCCTCACGCCCTCAAAAGCCTCCTTCATGATCCGCTACTCCAGCGGCTACATATGCGCACCGCTCCCCGTCTCGCGCGCCGCCGCCCTGCACCTCCCGCAAATGGTGGCCGACAACGCGGACCCGAACCGCACCGCCTACGCCGTCAGCATCGACGCTGCAGACCCCAGCGTTACAACGGGTATCTCGGCGACGGACCGCAGCTTGACGTGCAGGATGCTGGCGGATCCCAGCGCGAAAGCGAGCCATTTTAGGAGACCTGGGCATATATTGCCGTTGCAGGCGAGGGATGGCGGGGTCAGGGAGAGGCGGGGGCATACGGAGGCGGCGGTGGATTTGTGTCGGTTGGCGGGGAAGCAGCCTGTCGGTGTGATTTGTGAGTTGATTACTGATGGGGAGGAGGTGGAGGGGAAGCCCGAGTTGGTTGGGGGTGGTATGATGAGGAGGGATGAGTGCTTGGCGTTTGGGAAGAAGTGGGGGATAAAAGTGTGTACGATTGATGATATGGTTAGGTATATTGAGGAGAATGATGGGGTTTTGGGGGCGGGTGCGTTGGGTTAAGAGAGGGAATGTATGTGTTGTGAGTAGCTTTGGGAGAGTTACGATGAACAGTTCATGGCATATATCGTTCGAGGAGACGGCTCGGGCATACTAATAACCTCAACTCAAACCAGTGTACAAACGACGACGAAGAAGACGAATTAAGAAAACCACCCTCCACATTACTATTTCACACCCAGTCTAATAAGGCTTAAGCCTCTGCAAGCTCTCCGAACTTAGACCCAGCTACACTCCATCCAGAATCCTTCCAATATTATAATTTACAGCTCGAACGACAGAGAAAAAGGTATCTAGAAAACGAAACTCGGGCACATATCTGATATCCCATAGCCCCTCACATCATCGTCACCTCATCACCGCATAACTTCCTCCCCAAATGTATCCTTATACTCATACACCACACCTTCCTCCTCGCTGTCTTCATACCCCCCACCCTCATCTTCATCCTCATCCACATAGTCCCACGCAATCCCAACCCCCATACCCATCAACCCATCACCAAGTTGATACCCCGGTTTACTAAAAAGCATAGACATACGCCCCATCGGCACGGGCTGAACCTCCTCCACCTCGTCGTCCTCGTAGTACGCGTCGTCGTAATATGTGTTATCGTAGTCGCTGTAAAAAGACGTCGAGGCTTGCGATATGGCGCTGTAATCGCCATGTGAGGGGGTTTGCGTGGACCAGTAGTTGGAGGGCGTGGAGGTGTTTATGCGGAGGGCGGCGCGGGGGGTGGGAGTTGAGGTTAGTGGGGGGGTGGTTTGCGTGGAGGTTGAGGTGTAGGTTGGGCGGGGTTTGGGTGGTGGGGAGGTTGATGTTGATGTTGATGTTGATGTGTAGGTGGATGTGTAGGTTGGTATTGAGGTGGAGGAGGGGGCGTGGGCGTGGCAGCCGCATGTACATGGCGCTGTTGTCGTTGATGTAGATGGATAGCTCGTCGGTGCTGTTCTCGATGTCGATATCAGTGCCGGTGCTGTCGTCAACACAGTTTCCGATCCCCCATCTACATCCCCTCTCCCCTGCCGCGGAGAATTCTGTTCCTCAGAAACCACCCCCTCCTTCTCCCCCATCTTCCCCATCTGCATCCACCCCGGCCTAGCCGTCTGCACCGCCTCGCCCTCCACAATCGTCATCCCCAACATGGAAACCTCCGAATTCGACCTCGAGCTCGCAAAGCTCAGACTAGGCGGTCGACTCACCCTCGTCGAACTCGCCGAACTGCTCGATCTCTTATTCCTACTACTCCATCCATTCCCATACCCAGACCCAGGTCCATATCCCGACCCAGAAGATGAAGTCTCACTCCCGAAACTCGTATCCGATCGAACACTCATCTCGGACAGTGGGCGCAGGAAAGATACTGTGCGTGATCGTCGAAGCGCTTGTCTATCCGCTTTGGTATTGTTGTTGGTAATACCCCCCTCTTCATCATTGTCACCACCGTTGGATGTAGGAGGTAAGGATTTTCTGGTTTCAGCCGGTTCTTTGAATTCCAGCTTGCCGTTGTTGTCGGACGCGAAGTATTCTTCGCCGCGGCCGAAGACTACTTGTAGGGAGGCGTGGTCGCGCGTTATGCCGCTGGAGGGGTCTGGGTAGAGGAAGTCGCGGAGGGCGGGCGGGAGGTCGTAGCTATCTGTTGGGGGGTGAGTGTTAGTTTGGATGGAAAACGGGGGGAGGAAGGAATGGGATGGGATGGGTAGAAGGGGGTAGACATACCTGATTTAAATTCCCCGCCTTTAGTCTTCCAACAAACATAGTACCGTTCGAATGCGCCGAATGCGCAGACGATGAGATCGTCTAGACTCTCTGGGTCATTTGGGTCTTCTGGGATTTCGCCGAGGCGCTTGTACAGGCGTGTTGATGCGTCCATTATATGTGTCTGTGGTTTCTTTCTCTTTCCTTTCCCTTCTTCTCTGTCTTCTTCTCGGTATGTGTGGGTGTGTATGCGAAGAACCTCGCTATGCGCATACACCACTCTCACCTCACCTCCTCTCCCGCAAATTTGATCAGGCTAGGCGAAATAAACCCCTCTGACAAATAACCAGCGCCCAGCGTATGATGAAAAAGAAACAAAAATGTCAAGTCCTGTTCAGGCAGACAGACCGGGTCATCCAAGTATGTTAGTATGACGGAAGGAAAACAGGACCCATTTCATCACACACACAACAACAACAACAAAGTAAGGAAGTATAGTTACGAAAGAGAACGACCGTTCGAACAGAAAGAAGATTACAAGCTTAACACCCCCATACCCCTACCAACCCCATATTACACACACCCATACACCCATAAACCGTACCAAATCCTTCAAAGGGCCCAAACTCTCCCTCTGCTCGCGTGATATTCCTCACCCGAAAGTCCGCGACGATGTGTTCGCTGCTAAAACGTGTTAGAGACCTGCGTCGCAGGATGGACTTGTGGGAAATGCGGGCGACAATGTCGGTCGATGGTGGGCCGAGTTTCATGTCGCAAAGCCGGCACATTACTAGGGGTGTGCCCTGGTCGGTTGTAGTCGGGTAGTTCGGCAGATCTGTGGCTCGGGACGAGGCGAGTAGAAACTTGGGAGCTTGCGTCACTTGGGGATATGCTGGGTGTGGCGTAGCTTCTAGATGCGTCGTGGTGATGGTGGTGGTGAGGTGAGGAGTGGGGGGCTTGTTTGGGTTAGCGCGGAACTTGATAGTTAAGAGGCTTGAGATGAGGTTGTCATTTCGTAGATGGCACATATAGATATTTAGGTAGATTTTGATGTTCAGATTGAAATCTGGAAAAGTGACGCATTCAGGCGTATACTTTCATAGTTTCCTACAGCCCATTTATTCTTACACACGACCAAGCTTCCAAGCAAACCGATATACTTCCAAACATCATATACTCTTACATCCCTCATATAACTATATCAAACATCTCAAATCTTCAGCTTATATCTCACCACCCATCCCTCCATCCTAGCGCATACTAATCACCTTCTCTGTCCACCACCACCACCTTCCATACCAACCAAATCATCCAATTCCTTCAGCAAAATAGACGTCGTCTTCCTGCCCACCGTCCCCGCCCTCGGCCTACCCTGTACCGAATCTTCCGGCCTTAAGACTACATTCCCCATATCCACGCTGCCCCCAAGTCTACTACTCATGCCCTGGTTCGCCCTCCCACTCGTCATAGTCCGAGCGAGCGACGGTCTCGACGGACCGACCTGCGGGGAGAACCTAGGGGACTTGCTTGAAGCATCTGGTCTGGGAGAAGAGCGTTCTGTAACTCTCAGACGGGTGGGGGTGGAAGATAGTCTTTCCACTACTGATTGTGTGGAGGATCTAGGCGAGCGGCGGGATGTATCTGGCCGCGATGTGGATTGTGAAGACGTGGAACGGTCTGCTTGACGATTTGATGATGGTGTTGCAGATCCAGGTGATTCTCTCGACATACTTTGTCTCGACACTGAAGACCGTTCAGGACCATCGCGATCTCTCTGACGCATCACTAAAGACCTAGGTGATTCTCTCGAAGCATCCGGTCTCGGGGAAGATAATTGCGGAGACGCATTACGATCACGCAGACGATTTGAAGATGGCGTCGCTGATCGCTGAGATACTGGTCTCTGAGCAGGAGTCACCGGGAATGGTGGAACCGCCCCTCTACCTTCATTCGGTCGTCGCGGCAGAGATCTAGCACTGGATACCGATCTGGTCAAAGCTGCAGCAGGATCAGCTCGCATAGATGGCGCTCGTTGGCGTGGAGGCGTCACTGGTTGTTGGACGGAAAGGCCCGAAGGGGGTTCGGGGGTCGCCGACGTCTCACGAGAGGCTGGCAACACCTTCTCCTGTTGTGGTATCTCCAGCTGTGGAGGCGTGGGGGATAGTTCCGGCGTCTTGCTGGGCACTGGTGCGTTGAATGCTTCGTCTTCGATCGAGTACAGGGAAGAGGTGTTGCTGCTGGCACGGGACCCACGTTGAGTCAACCTTTTCTGGACTTCTTCGCGGGGGAGTTGCCCCGCTGCCAGAGCTTCAAACAATTGAGCTTGGGCGAGTGCTCGCGTTCCGCTGTTTCGGTTTAGTTTGGGGGTGGCGCGCTTCTCGCTCTTCGGTGTGGTTTGCTGTGTTGCTGGTGGAGATGTTGCTGTCCTTGGAGAACCCGGTTTGCTTTGAGAGAATAGTGTTTCACTGATTGCTGAAATGCTCTTCTCGCTTGTCGGTGTAGTCTGCCTTTCAGCTGGCGGAGTGTCTGATGTCTTCTCGATAGACTTCAGTTGAGGCTTCTCCTTTGGAGAGTCAGGCTTATCCGGTGAGGCTGGGATTTCATAATCCGGTCGTCCATCAGGCTCTGCAGGCGGCGAGTCTGGCTTATCTGGCGAGATCGGTATTTCATAGATGGGCATCGACTGCGACTGTACCGACCCTGGATCTTCCTCAACACGTGGCAACTGCTCGTATTCAACCGCAAATGATGTCGTGTTCTCTTGCTGCTCATTCGAATCCTCAGCAGACACTACATTGGATTCCACTCGTTGTACAGGCTGCACAGCCTCCTCCTCTTCACTGTCTACACGCTCATAAGCTGGTGGTGGCGTCTTTGGCGTCCTCATACTAAACACCATTCCCCCTATAACTGGCGGCGGATCCTCAAAGATACTCTTCGGAATTTTCAACGGCTTCAACCAACCCCCATCATCCCCCCCATCTGTCCTCTCACCCCCCGCCACCTCATTACTCTCTTCCCCGTGAGCAAAAACCCCGGGTTTCTCCACCAGGGCCTCACCTCCAAGAGGTCGCTCAACCGGCGCCTCTTCCTGCGCATCAACCTCCCTCTTGGTCGTCTGATCCCCCAATCTAGCATCCGCCTCTTTCTGAAACCTCTTCTCCTTCCTCCCCAGCTCAACCTCCAAGACGCGCGTACCAGGCTGCACTACAGACTTGAGTCCATCGTCGAAAAGGTCAAAGTACAACCCCCAAAGCCCCGGCGCTTCCTCAACTGCGCACCAACCTTCCCACCCGTCAAATGTGAGACGGCGATCCTGGCGCGTGCAGTCAAAAGGTCCTGTGAGGTTCGGTTGCGCATCAGCGCGGACGCCGTACTTGGCTTCACATGTGGTCTTGTCGATATACACCCAGTTCATAATGGGCGCGACGTCGGTAATTGTTGTGACGAGACCTTCGTACTTTGTGTCGGGGTAGGGGAGATAGTATCCAGCATAAGGGTGACCTAAAGGACTACCGTCCGGCGTCCCGGCATCAATCCATAGTTTGCCATTACGGAGGACAACTTGTCGGCCGTTGATTTCGCGGCTGCGCGCTGACGACTTGACGCACGTTGCGATGAGGTTGCAGCGACGGGCGCGGTGTTCTTCTCGCTTTTCCTTGGACTGGCTTTGTCGGATGGCTTCTTGCGAGCCTAGTAATCCGGGTGCGACAATGGCCGCGATGAGAATTGAGAGTACCATGTGTAACTTTTCGTGTACATGCTGTTGCTAAGGTGTGGTCGACTTCGGCATGGGTATCTAGGCCGCATTGCCACATTCACCATTGCTGGTCCATACTGCCTGCAACCGAATGGTCTATGCGTACTGCTGTAACTAGCCAAAACAATATCTTTGCCTCACAATTCCAGTCATTCGATTCTCTTTCGACCAGGGGACTTGCGCTATCCAACTTGAGACGCCCATCTTCCTTCGTGGCAGCCCTGCGTTTCAGCTTCACGTGGGTGATCCGACCACAAGCATAATATCACCCCATGATATTCAGGCGAATAGCTGTCTCGACCATCCAACCTCCGTACTGCGAAGGTGCTGGTACGAGACTCGGACGATGACAGCCGGCCTAAAACGCAGGAATGCCACAACAGCGGTTTCGAGAATTCCACTCAAGGTGGTGCAGTGTAATTAGACTAGGATCCGTGCTGTTAGAGTACTGAGAAGCGTCCAGATATATAAGGCAAAAATATACCTCGTTTGGAAAGCCAGTACAGTTGACCTGCATCTCATCTTCACCACCCACAATCATTCCTGCAAAGCAACGGCCAGGAGCCTTCCAAGTTTGAACCTAATTGTTAATAACGACTTCAACTCCAACTTCCATCTCTTCATCCCATCAGCAACATGTCTACTCTGTAAGCATCCGAATGCACCACGAGACTCTCTTTTGCTAACTCTAGTCAGCGACTCCACCACCATTCGTCCCACCGCCTACGGCTCCGACACCGAGAGCGACGGCCAAGCATCCGGCGGTCGCAAGATTTCTCCCAACTCCAAAGTCGGCCCTATTCCTTCTTCAGCATCGCTCAGCCGGCCTGCTGGAAACATCATCAAAGGTCCTGTTGACGACAACGGCAAGCAAAAGGACGCCGCATTGTTGATCGGTATTAAGCTTGATTTGGAGGCCGAGATTCACTTGACGGCACGAATTCGCGGAGATATTACAATTGGATTGTACTGAGTTGCTTTCATTGGACTATGGACAGTGGTTGGCGTCATGGCCAAGGCTCTATAGCCGATGCGGATAGAGCAAACCACAAGCTTCGCGGATTGACGGGATCAAGTAGAACCATGGACTCCACTAGAGACCACTGTGGAAATATCCGAGGCACGGAAGCCGTTGCGATGCGAATGATATACTTCTTTCCTTGACTTGATCACATGTGCACGATTGCCTATGATGCGCGAAGACGTGGTTGCTTGCAAATATCACGAGTGAACTGTGTCAGATCTGAATGGATAGTCAGCATGGAGTACATTACTAGTGGAGAACACTATGCATGTGAGATGTGCTGATCAGATTCATGCCCTGTCACAGGCAATTATCACCATTGCCGTAGCTCGGTAGACCGTCGTGATAAATTGATTGTTCATCTTAGAAGGGGAAGAGGGAAGGGAGGTGTTTGCCTTACCTTACATGAATGTCACATATCGTTATGAGACGACCCTATGCAACTCATCAGTTGCTGTTGTGTATCGTGACCATGAAGAGTGAAAGCGATGAGTGCGGATCAGACATGACGGTTCTCGTCTTCGCCGAAGCTTGGACATATGCTTGTCTTTGATTTCGTCGGATCATCATTTCGAGGGAGGATGTAGGTGATGAGCGTACCGTTTGGATGGTGATGATTCTGGGACTTGAGGCATGTCAGCAAAATACTCTTTCTTGATAGGTAAAGCAAGTGGAGTGGGTAGATTGGGATCAGTTGACATGAATGGATATTTTGATTTAAGTCTTCACCGGGCGAACCCATCGGACTCGTCATCAAGTGTTCATCATTTCGTGGGGTATGAGAAAGCGGGATGGACACTTACCAAGTATCCTGGCATATACCACAGCGGCGGCACCGACTGATGAGCTGTTAGCTAGGGCACAGCTATCCTGAACAATCGTGCAAAGTGGTAGAACAGTATCAGTCAAGCAGGTTTCTGAGGCCTGCGAAATAGGCGTATCCGTCACGAATTGTCGGAGCCCAGTGCCGTAGCATCATATAGTGTTCGAGTCGTTGGAATCGAGAGAGGGTGCATACCATTTGGTTCGCCGAAGCATCGTAGCCTATGCAACGCCAAGAGTTAGCCAAAGCTTCTCAGAGCATTGAGCAAAATAAGAGGTGCAGGATTGATATCAGATACAGCCTTGTTTATCGGCATAGGCAGAAGCCTTGGTCGGTAATTTCCAGCGTGCCGAAGCAACACAGATCATCATTGGAAGAGTTGGGCGAAGAGAGAGGTGGGTACATACCAGTCGCGTTGTGAGGCTGAGCTTTTGAGTGCCCAGCCAACTGCCAGTCAACGGCAGGGTCGCATTGCAGCCATATGATGTCGCGATGTCGCATTGCGTGCGAACTAATCTTGATGCTTGTTAGCTAGATGCTCTTTCACAGATGTCGCGAATAATGTGAGAAGAACAGTCGTGTTCAGACTGACGTGCAAAAGTTTGAGTTTCATTCCCCTAGAGGTCAAAGACTCTAATTTGTTTTTGGCTTTGTGAATCATCATGAAGTAGGATGGTGAGTGGAAATGGTGGTACGTACTGAATTCAACCCATGCTGGTAGCAGAGTTGTTAGAGCTGGAAGATTAGCCGCGTAATCATAGACAGCGTTCTGCTGCGTGGTGGTTGCGCATTGATTGTGCGCAGTGCGGTGTGTGAGGAAAGAGAAGTTGCAGGTTGCTGGAGAAAAGTTCAAGCTATCGGAGGTTGGAGCTAAATTTTCCGCTCCGTTAGCGCGGTATGACTAAGCACGGCGGGGCTAGTCCTGTTCTGCACACGAAGACAAGGCACTTATCGGCTGTAGATGTGCATCGTCGAACCAACATTTACAATTGAGGAGCTATAGGTTTGATTTCGTAACGTACTGATTGCGCCTCTCGAATGATTCTATACCGCTCCTTCCCAGTTGACGCCGACCCAATGTTCCTTCCTTGTGCTTCTCCTATGAGCGCTGCTAACATGACGCGTGCGGGGACTATCATGGCGCATAACTTGGGTATTTACATGAAGTCATAAAATCTGGAAGCTGTACAGTTTCATTTGGTAAGAGGATCTTTGCCTCTTGCCATCCGAACATCCAACTTTCCATATGAAGAGCGTGTGCGAATATCAATACTGCAAAACACAGCAAATGATATCAAACTCCTCATGATGCAAAGATGCGAACATTGAGGTCAACGCAGCCAGTCGCAATCACGCATCGTATGCCAGCCTTGGCCGCCTCCTCCTCTTTCTTCTTGCTCAAACCATTTGTTGCGCCGTTAGTCGCGTCTCCATTTACAGGTACGTCCTTGATGACATTGGGTGCCCATCGCATGCAGCTGACAAAGTGGCCGTGCGCGTCAGTTACAGTCTTGACACAACGACCTTCTTGGGTGAGATCCCAGCATCGAATTGTCTTGTCGTCGCTAGCAGATAGCAAGTACTTTCCGCCGGGATGGAAAACCAGTGATCGAATCCAGTTATCATGGCCGGTCAACGTCTTGATCAAGGTTCCTCGCCCATCCCATATCTTTATTGTCTTGTCTCTTGACCCGGTGGCTATGTATTCGGCTGAGCTGCTTAGCGGTGGTGGTTTCTTCAGGCCAGCGAGCGATGCAAGGTTAGCATAAGACACCGGAGGCGCTATCGTGACGCATTCGACAACATGCTCATGGCCGATAAAAGTGCATTTTGGCTCTCCCGAGCTGGCGTCCCATAGTCGAGCGGTTTGATCATTCCCTGCAGAGAGCAGCCATCTTCCGTCGAAGCTTGGGGCCACGTCTCGCACCCAGTCGGCGTGGCCCCGTATTGTCTTTACACAGTAACCTGTAGTAACGTCCCATATTCGTAGTGTTTTATCTCGAGACGCTGAAACAAGTAGGTTGCCTGACGAAGGCGATCCAGCAGCCCCACTAGGGACGAAGCGGATGGCAGATACCGAGTGGTCATGGCCTGGTAATGTCCTTATATTCTTGTACTCATCCGAGGGATCCCACAGCTTGATGGTCAAGTCGCTCGAACATGATGCCAACAAGGTTCCACCTCTTGGGCCGCCAAAATCAACGTCCAAAACGCCTTTGGTGTGTCCCTTGACGGTCCTTTCCAGCTCTCCCAGCTCCCAGTCCCATATTTTGATGGTTGTGTCTTCAGAGCCAGATGCGAGGGAGGAGAAGACGGGGTGAAATGCGACACATGTGATGGGGGAGCGGTGCGATTGGAGGGTATGTCGTGCTGGGGCCCGTGGTAGCCAGCTGGCGGGGTCTTGGTTCCTGCGGAGGAGAGAGGTGGGAGTTGTGGAGTCCAGCTCACTCTGCAGGGTCTGATTGCGCTGCTCTAGTTCCATGACCTATTAAGAAGACATGAGCAAAGACGTCTGACGATGGAAGCTGGCGCAACTACCTTCTTTTGCAACCGCACCACACTCGTCCACTTCTTCTCCAGCAGCCCCTCGTACTTTTTCCGTGTGGCATCGTCGAAATTGGCCGAGACGTTTGCTTCCTCTCGAAAAGCTTCAGCTGTCTTGGGCGCGTTTATGACGCCTAAATATGCAATAATGGCCTTGTGCCTGCATCGCCGTTAGTGGTTGCTCCCCACATGTGCCGCGACTCGCAAGACTCACAACTCCTCGGCTTGCCGGTCCGTCAATATCGCGCTCATGGCGGAATGGGTGGCTCATAGGCGACTGGCGCAAGATTCCACCATGCAAAGTCACGCAGTTGTGCGTAGATTCTAGCGGCCGGTGCGGAGGTTTTTGGCGGGCGCGGGGAATTGCGGTGAGCGGAGGGCGAGGCGCGGATTACGGCTGGCGGGGGGGTTTGGGCGGTAGGTTGGGTACTTTGTTTGGGGAGCGAGAGAAAGCCGCGCGGTGAAGATAGCGATTGAGTGGGAGCAAGCAATTATGCTGGCGCCAGGTCTACGTGGTCGACGGTCGACGGTCGACGTATGGGGGGGTTATTCTATCATGTGTCTGCAGGGATGTGGCAGCCAGCAGCGAATCTGAGGTAGCTGTCGCCTCGGGAACCAGCCCCAGCCCAACACCCAAATATCTGCACTGCACCTGTGGCATGACGCAGTCAGCGAGCGACACATTTGATAGCCCGCGCCCCTGCACTACCCGTACGGCTTTGCTACCACACCACACCTGTGCCCTTTAGTCGTCTCACAAGCAAATATAAGCCGTGCGTAGACCTACTGACACATTCCGGTACGTTGCTCCCGCTCCTACGACTCGTTGCACATCCATCAGCGCCAAATGGCGCAACATTGGCACTAGTGTGCATGCGCGCATGGATGGTGCTCATCGCCGCCAGACCCCCATTACATACACCCCTTCTTGCGACATCCCTCGACTGTCTCTAAACATTCGCGACTGACTGTTGGCCAGTGTTTGTGTTTTCTTGCACCACCCCGCATTAACCCCGATACACACCACAACAACCTAACACACCATGGCCGAAGAAGAAGATTTCAGTTCCCTGCCGCTCCCCGACCGTTTCGTACACAAGAACTGGAAAGTACGGAAAGAGGCATACGAGGCCGCCGCCAAAGAATTCAGTCTTGCTGCCAGCGAATCAGACCCCGTCGTGCGCCAATTCATAAATGATGCAAGCATATGGAAGGGCGTCGTAGGCGACTCCAACGTCGCAGCACAGCAAGAGGGTCTTGGTGCGCTATGCGCCTTTCTCGACATAGCTGGCCAGCAAGGCTGCTCACGGTAAGAAGTCGCGCGCAAGCGATCACGGCTAAAGTGCTGATTTCCATGTCTAGGACGCGGAACATTACCATCGCGACCATCGCCGAAAAGGGCCTACCGTCTACGAGACCGGCCGCCAAGCAGAAGGCCCTCGAGGCACTGATGCTGTACATTGAAACCGACAAGCCAGATCCAGTCATTGAAGAGCTGCTACCCGTCCTGGGAAACAAGCAACCCAAAGTCATCGCCGCAACCCTCGACGCCCTCACCCAGATATACCATGCATACGGATGCAAGACCATCGAGCCCAAGCAGGTTCTCAAGTTGCTACCCAAAGTATACGGCCATGCGGACAAGAACGTGCGCGCGAAGGCGCAGGAGCTGACGGTTGAATTCTACCGATGGCTGAAAGAGGCCATGAAACCGCTCTTCTGGAACGATCTGAAGCCGGTCCAGCAGCAGGATCTCGACAAACTGTTCGAAAAAGTCAGAGACGAGCCCCCGCCAAAGCAAGAGCGCCTGCTCCGTTCCCAACAGGCCGCCAAGGAAGCCGCCGTCGCTGCGCCAGGCGGCGACGACGAGTGTGAAGAGGAGGAGGACGCAGCCATTGATCTCGAGCCTGAATACGAGGCTGTTGACGTTTTCGCGAAGATACCCAAGGACTTCTCCGACAAGCTCGCATCATCGAAATGGAAAGATCGAAAGGAGACTCTGGACGAGGTGCAGAAAGCCCTCGACCATCCAAGGATAGCAGAAGGCCCATTCGACGAATTGGTGCGCGGATTTGCGAAGAGCATGAAAGACGCCAACATTGCCGTTGTCATCACAGCCGCAAACTGCGTTGAGCTTCTAGCAAAGGGCTTAAAGAAGAGTTTCCAAAAGTACCGCAAAGACGTTATGAACGCCATGATGGAGCGACTCAAGGAGAAGAAGGCGACCGTGACCGATGCTATCGGAGCCGCCCTAGATGCATCGTTTGCTTCTACCAGCTTTCAGGACTGCTTAGAGGAGATTCTCGAGTTTCTGAAGCACAAGAACCCGCAGGTCAAGCTTGAGTCGTCGAAATTCCTGATCCGATGCTTAAAGAACACCCGCGAAGCACCAACCCCTGAACAGGCCAAGGCCATTGCTGAGGCCTCCACAAAGTTGCTCACTGAGTCGCAAGAGGTTCAACGTTCAGCCGGTGCCGAGACGCTCGGTACGCTTTGGAAGATCATGGGCGATCGCATCATGAATGCCCATCTTGATGGCCTGGATGAAATCCGCAAGACCAAGATTAAGGAGTTCTTTGATGCTGCCGAGGTCAAATCCAAATACAAGCCAAAGGCGGCCCCTGCACCCAAGCCTGCTGCCGCTCCACCATCGAAGAAGCCGATGGGTAAGCGACCCGCGCCTGGCGGTGTGAAGAAGGCAGCCCCTGCACCTAAACCTGCTCCCCCTCCACCCGCGGAGGAACCGTCCGCACCGCTCGAGCCGAAGCCGACATCGAGGCCCACGCCCAAGCTGGGTACCAAGCCTGGTCTTGGTGGGCCATCAAGGCTAGGAGGGTTGAAGAAGCCAGGTTCGGGTCTCGCAGCCCCTTCGCCGCGGAAATCGGTTGTATCGCCACCTCCTGAGGAAGAAGCACCACCACCACCGCCCAAGTTTGGTGCAGGACGTGGTCTGGCAGGCCGTCCCCTCGGAAAGCCTGCCGCGGAACCCGTTGCAGCAGCTCCAGTACCACAGGCGCCTACTGGGTTAAGTTTGGTGGAGCGAGCAGAGCTAGATGAGCTTCGAGCAGAGGTTGAGCGAGTGCGACGACAAAACGAAGACTTGCGTAGTGAGCGGACGAAGCTCACTTCCCAAATCCATGAGCTACAGAACCAAAATGCTCAGCTCATCGAAGACCACACGCGCGACGTCCTCTCCATCAAGGCAAAAGAAACACAGCTTGTCCGTGCCCGCTCAGACTTTGAAGCATCAGAACAGACAGTTCAAAACCAACGCCGAGAAATCGACCGCTTGAAGCGTGAACTCAGCCGCCAAGTGCGAGCCTCATCTCCGCCAGCTTCCGACGTTGCCGACCAGATATTTGCCGATAATGGCAACGGCGCACAGTTCGGCGACTCTGGGTACGGCAGTCGAGGAATGCATGCCAGGCGAGAGAGGAGTTTCAATGTGCCTACAAGCCCAGGCGGTGACGGTAAGGAGAATTTTGATTCCTACTCTCGTCCCGCCAGTGTTTTGAGTGGCAAGCTGAGTCCACGTTTAGATGGTGCTTCTGGCATGTCATCGTTTTCTTCACGAGGTGGCGGTCGCATGAGCCCTGCAGAGAACGGTCTCAGTCATCGAGGACAGTCACAAGCCGCTTCCGGTGCTGAAAGCTGGAAACGTGCTGCAGAGGTAACTCAGAACCTCAAGCAGAGAATTGAGATGATGAAGGTTAGTAATCTTTCTCCCGTCCCGCTCACAACCCACAACTAACAACAACCAGGCCAAGCAAGGCATCGGACGTCCAGCGCAATAATTTTCCAGCCACTTATCGTTCTCTACGCTGCTTACATCGCGTAGGCTAGGGTTTGTTTGGGAGTTCTGCAGCACGGATGACGGTGCTACACCTTTTTTGCTATGTTTATCCTGGGACCCCCATGCAAAAGAAAACTTTCTTTAGGGCGTTCGATATGGCTTCTGCGGCTCGGCACATGTTTCTGACTTTGCTTTCGCCTGCATGTATTTTACCCGTGGGCATTTCCGTGGCGTTTGTTTGTTCTGGTTTTCTTCCGAGGGGATTGTGCTGCTGTGATAAGTGATGAGCAACAGGGCACATTGGTCCAGGATAGAATTGGGGAGGTGGGCAAGCACGCGCAAAAGTGGAATGTCACTGCGAAAGAGGGTAACAGGGAGGAGAGAGCGCTGAAACCGGGGGAAGGCGTGCGTGGATGGGTTTCCTTGAGTATTGAGATTCCCCAAATGGCTTTTTTATTCGCTCTTCCGCACAACCATCATCATTACCATCATCGATATCAGCAATGAAAAGACGCTGTTTTTTACTCCACATCCCGATACCCATCATCGTTATCATCCCTTTTCTTATTGCCCATGATTACGCCCGCCTGGACCTGGGGCCCAACCCTACGCAGCCGCCGCGTTACCGAACCGCTGGGTCACCGCACGCCCAACCGTGCCGCACGCAAATGAATCATCCCATCACCTCTTGGCGCCGAAGGATGATGAGGGGCGGGACGGGAGGGAGAGTGCGTTGCGTTGCGTTGCGCGTAAAATGCCTCCTTTACATGCCGACGTCGCGCGGCTCTTTGTTCGATCGTCTCTGCATGCGTTTTGTCTGACTGATTAACTTGTGTTTGACTGGATTTGTACTGGGCTGGACCAGTTTGACTCGTTTAGTTGTTAAATTCACACAAGACTGGATGCGCGGCTCCACACGACATATCGCCGTCGAGTCGGTTATGGATCCTGGACTCTCGCGTCGCTCACTGAAGGTGCTTGCTGCCGCTGGTGGTGCTGCCCCACATCAACAACAACAATGGGGATCACAACAACAGCATACGATCGACAGAGATGGTGACGACGCGACACTTATTGATCTCTCGCGCGCAACGAATGAAGTCGCACATGCGGAGTTATTGGAGTTTTTCAAGAGCACGGTTGGGGAGGATGTTACTAGTGAGGTATGTGGGTTTATCGTCTATTTTGTGTAGATGGGTTCTGCGCGGTTCTTTTTGGGGTACCACAATTCAAGAAGAAGTTGGAATGAAACGAAACGGAACGGTTGTGACAGACGGCGCTAATTACTTTCTGTTGTGAGAATAGGTGTTTGCAACTCCAGCGTCATCCGGATATCATGACAACGGGCGCAGTGAACCACGACTCCGGAGTGCACTAGCAGGATTCTTCAACACAAATTTCAATCCCGTTCACACAGTAAGACCGGAACATATTGTTATTACGGCAGGGGCGACAGAAGCGATTGAAAGGTTGGTGGATGCAGTTTGTGATGAGGGTGATGGGATTATAGTTGTAGGGCCATGTTGGCGTGAGTATTGCTCTCTCATCTTCTCCATTTCAATCCCCCATCACTATTCATACCACAAGATGAAAGCCTATATGCCATCACTATCTCCTACCTCCTCACAACCCCTATACTAACCTACCACCCCACAGCAACCCTCATCCCCACCCTAACCCTCAAACACTCCCTCGCCCTCACCCTCGCCAAACCACCAACCTACAACCACTGGGACAACTACCTCCTCCCCTCCCTCCAAGCCTCATACGACTTCTCCCCCGTAAAATCCCGCATCAAAGCCGTCGTGCTTTGTAACCCCAATATGCCCCTTTCGCGCTGCTACCCGCGCGAGACGCTGCTCGATCTTATGGAGTTTTGTCAAGAGAGGGGGTTACATCTTGTTTGCGATGAGGTGGGTGCTTTGTTGAGTGTGAACGCGGAAGGAGGAGTGGGGTGTAAGAAAGCACCTGGGTTCGTTAGTGCACTTAGTTTGACGGAGCCGTTGGCGAGGGAGGGGGCGAGGAAGGTGGATCCGAGTCTTGTGCATGTTGTTTGGAGTGGGAGTAAACTTTTTGGGGTTGGGGGGTTGAAAGTTGTATGTTGTCTTATCTCTTTACCTTCCCTCGTCACCCCATTATATCTCTCACCACCCCATCCATTCTCATTACTGCATTTTACCTCCACCCCATTCAATACCTGCTAATGCTATAAACAGGGCTGCATAATATCCCAATCTTCCCCCTCCCTCAACACCGCCCTATCAACCCTCACCACACCGCCCTCCACCCTTCCTTCCCTCTACCTAACATCCCTCCTCTCCTGGTCCCAACTTCCCACCCTCCTCGCTTTAACCACCGAGCGCCTAACATACTCCTGCCACATTCTCGCCACCTTTTTGCAACGCCATGATGTCGAGTTCGTGGTTCCTACACATGGCGTTGTGTTGTTTGCGCGCTTGGCGAGGACGGCCGCGAGTAAAGGCGAGGAAAAGAGGTTCTTCGAGGCGCTGGAGAGGGGCGGTGTTAGGGTTGGGAGGGGCGAGAAGTATGCGGGGGTCGAGAGGTGTTGGGGTTGGGCCGGGCTAGGGTTTGGGGTTGGCGTAGAGGTTATGGAGGAGGCGGTCAGGAGGATGGAGAGGGTGATGAGTGGAGAGGGAAGGTGAGGGACGGAGATGAAGGGGTGGGTGTCTGATGACGTATTGGGCGTATATGCGTCTAATTGTGTTATGGCTGTTGTGGTAGGCTTCGGCTTGTTTTCTCGGCATGGTTTGCCAGCGTCTCAATACCTAGCCTTTTCATTTTATTGTTGGATGGAAGAAACGCTGTGCTGCAGACCTCTTTGAGTATTTCCTAAGCAGCACAGAATAGAGATCAAAATCACATAGTTGTCGGTATAAATATAGCGTATACATCTCATTCTCAATGGCTATACTCTTCGTGATTACGCTACGGCAACCTCCCCACATATATATATCCAAGTTCCCTTGAATAGACTCTCGGATACCCCACCCCCACTTCTACTTGCTCCACCCAGTCCATAGACAATTATATGCCAGTCTTAACTCAAATCAAAGCCCGCACCCGAAAATACACTATACAGCAACTTCTCCTTGAGCGTCTTTTCATCGCGATACATGGGCAACTTGAGCAAATTCACACACGTACTCGTGCTAGGCAGCCTCTCTTGATCGCTACCCGCATCACGAATACTGAAGCGCGGGTTCAGGGTGCCAAATCCAAGGAGCGGGGCGCGGGGTGTACTAGTGACGAACTTGAGGACAGCGCGACGCTCGTCATCTGACATTTCCTTCATGACCTTCCACAGTATCTGGATGGTAGGATGCTCTTGACCGTCGTCGCCGATGACGTAGGTGCCGCCATAGATTGTGTTGCGGCGCAGGTCTTCGACGTCGATGGATGTGCGGGTGCCGGAGATGAGGGTTTGAAGCTCAGATTGGTTGAACATGGAAAGCCATGAGGGTTGGATCATCGTACTGAGGCCGCGGAGGAAGGCGGTTGTTTGAGCGTAGGGTTGGTTTTGCAAACGGTGGCGGGCCATGTAGCTGATGTAGACAAGCCGGTTCTGGTTGGTGACGGGTGTATTGGATCCATCAGGCTTCAGTTCTTTGGTGATAGCCTTGGTCTTCTTGGGCGAGGTGGCGTGGTCTACGACAACCGTGTCTGTCACTGTGAAGTTGAGTGAAAAGTCTTCGACATCGCCAGGGTAGGTCTTGAGTTTGTGTAGACCTTGGTATAGCTCTTCGTCCAGGTCACGCAGATCGTTAAGCGTGGGTCGATATCCAGACTCATTCGGTGCAGAGCCGGCGCCACCTGTCAAGGCCCATTTGCGCAGGAAGAAGGGCGCAAAGTTTACGTCGACCAAGATTCCCTCGTACAAACACTTGCCTATGATGCGCCCCAAGAACTCATAGCGCTGAAGTAATTCAGTGACTTGCGCACGATACTCTGGTGAGTTCTCGCGTAAACCTGCCTGTCGCAAAGCTTCCTTGTGCTCTTCGAGTGCTGCGGGATTTGGATACAGCAAATGTTGATCGTTCTCAACGAACATGTCGATGTAGTCTGTTGGCATGAAAGCTCGGTTCGTGACACTGGTAAGAAACTCCTTGGTAACACCACCGCCGTCAATACCAGCCTCAGCTGCACCGAATTGGTCCATGAACGTGATTTGGATCGGCTCCTTCAAACCCTGGCCCAATTCATAGAACTGCTCGAACGCATCATCAAATTCGTTCTCTCTTCGAATCCTTGCCGAGTGTTTTTCGAAATGATCACGTGCGTTGCGTTGCTGCATGAGCCTAAACCGCCAAAGCTCTGGGTCAGCGCTGCCCCTTCGCTTGGTCATGTCCAAGTGCACGAATTCCCGGAAGATCTGAACTCTCGTCGTGAATGGTATGAAGAACGGCATGTTTTGTAGAATCTCCAAACGAGGCGCCACTGCTTGCAGGTAGCGCCTCCTCGAAGCCTTGCGCTGCTGTCGTTGTAGCTTCTCCAGCCGTCGTTGTTGCTGTGTTCGGCCAGTCCCAATGAGTTGTGGTGTATCGTCAAACTCTTCTTCCTGGTCGTCAAGATCATCGGCGTCCTCTTCTTGAATCTTGTGTCGCGACTCTTCCTCTTCTACTACAGCTGGAATGAAGCCAGTCATGTCAAAGCGAGAGGTCATGAGCCAGTGATCCGAGGGCAAGAACTTGCGCCGAGAATCGCGCTCGTATACCATGCGAAGAAGTCCGGTGACTAAGCCTTTGACATAATCAATCTTCAAGCCTGCAACGCCACCTATTGATGGCTCCACCTGCTCTTTCTGGGTTTGATTGTCCATTGCTTTGGGATTGAAGTAATTGAGGCTTATGCTACTGCTTCCGGCCTCTGTATCCGATGTCGTGATATCGACTGCGTTGAAGTATAGTGTAAAGCCCAGGTTCTTCAGGAAGGTCGTCAGGTCTTTCACATCGTTCAAAGCTAACCCGTTGTCGCGGATCTGACCAGAGTAGGCATCTTGCTGACCAGCAGTGAAGAACTCCTCGTCATCTGTCACTTTGAGCACAAAGGTGTATAGTTCAAGGAACACTAGAATAACCCGCCATTCATCGGTGACGATGGCATCTTGATCGACCTGCTGTTTAGCTGGCTGCCAGAAACCGTGGTTCGTCAATCCCGATGTACCAGGGCGATCAGAGGTGTCACCATTTGTCGCTTTAGGCTTGAGCAGTCCGATGGCCGCGCGCGAGTCTTTGAAGATTGTGGAAAACACGGACGACCGTTTTGATGCTTCCCAGAAGTATCGGATAGCAGGCAGTTTCCGCTTACCCCTCGCTTCCGATGGACCAATGTAAAGCCACATCCGAATCTCATCACCCCGACGAGGGAAGAAGCGTAGTAGGGCAAGCGCATAGTTTGCCAGTTGTCGGGCTTCTTCAATCTTTTCATCATCCGAAGCCTCCTCTGACTGCGAAGATCCAACCAGTAGACTGCCAATGCCTTCTTGATGTACCAAGGACCCGACCTGCTCTTTCAGGAAATTTGTCACCGTCTCAGGTTCCTGATCAGTTCCATCATCCTCTGTAATCTCGCTGATCGGGTGGTCTTCGTCAATTATGCCAATTGGTAACGAGTTCAACAATACGGAGACGACGGCTACAAAGTCTTTGTGTACAGCATATGCTTCGGGGGTATCAAAATTGTGCGCGTAGCGGTGAAAGTAGATGAAAGTTCCCAGCAGACGCAGCCGGCTTGGGGAGCTCCTCAGCTCGGCTTTGGCTTGCAGACCTGACTTCGGTGCTAGAGTTGCCAGTGCATTCGCAAGTAACTTGTAATTGATTTCATTGGCGAGCGAGTCTCGAAACCTCCGCACAATCAATGACGTTGAGTCTGAGCTCAGCAGTGGAAGTGTCAGGATGTGTATGCCAAAAGCCTCGTATGCATCCAATGTATAGCCCGTGACCCTATTTAAAGGAGAGAGTGCCGTTTTTTGTATGGCATCCATCCAAGCTGGCCCATCGGCCTCCGCTTCGAGCAGTGGGGTAAGGCTGGATACGACGCTTGCGATGGTACGGTAGTATTGTTCAGCGTTTCGAGATGTCTCGGCCGGTATTTGTTCGGCGAGGAATCCTAAGAGAACAATGGATTGTCCAAGCTCATTCCGTGCGACTGGAGGAACCTTGACCTGTCGTTCTATGGCGACCAGTAGTATCCGCTGCAACCTCGAATAAGCAGATGGCCAGGCTCCATCCGGCTTAACGCCTAAACTCTTGACCGTCTCCGTCTGCCGTATTCCAAAATTCTGTATCCGCCTCAAATCGTCCTCGCTCCGCGGAGAGGCAAAGCGAAGCAAGTGCTGTAACTGAGTAAGAGCCTCTTCTTCAGAGCCGTATGCTGTGTTTGCTAGTACGCCTTTCGGCGCCTCCACTTTGTCCCATTCGCCCCGAATATGGTCTGCCAGTTCTCTCCTAGCGAAGTGACCCCGCCATACTCTCTGTATCCTCTTGCTCGCATTCAATGTATCTCGTTCGCGTTGTCGCTGGGCTCGTTCCTGCTGTGCGCGGTCGAGGGCAGCTTGAGATCCAGCGCCAGAGCCGGGAGGGCCGAAGGGGTTGGTCTTCTTTCCGCCCAGGTTCACTTGGCGCGCTCGGCGTGTATTGCCCGTGAAGCTCGTGAACATGGTGGCGGATATTCGAGTGGGCGGAGACGTGGATGCGGCGAAATGGTTTACGTGTATTCGGACCTGCCCAAGCAGGCTATATTATTGGGCAACGGGCCAAAGTTGAATTGTGGTATCAGGTTAGTCGTGAATCTAATATCGTGTAGTCGTAATGGTGAATGCGAGGCCGATGGAGGCTGGGGTCGCTTTGGGCAAACGGTGGGTGTTACCCGTGCGTGAAGGAACGATGCACAGGATGTCGTGACTTGTACAAGGAATGATTCGACCACACACTTGCCTTCGAATGGATTCTACGTGTCTCCGGTGGCCGCGGTGATGGAGCAACCAAAGAGTAGTCAGCATCGCCGCATCCACCTCCGAGCATGTCCGTGCACGATACCGTCATACACAGCCGCAGCCTCATTTACGCCACGATCAACGCGTCTTAGCAGCGTTGGATTCGACCATGACCTCATCCATATCCCTTAGCTACTCGGAACCAAATTTTAGAAAGAGATCTGGCGACTAGAGAAATTAAGCCAAATCGCGCCTATACCTGTTCTACCGTGATTAATGACAAAGCGAATTATCGCGAGTTGTGCCTGCTAGTGTCGGCAACAGCATGCACGCAAGGCATTACACCAACGCGCTCAGCCAATTTGAATGGAAGGAGGTCTAGATCGTGAGCACATGTACATACCGGTCCACGCATAGCTGTTGGTAGTAAGCATCTCCAGCACGTATACCAAATGCACGAGGCTGTCACAGGCGTGCTGCGCGTATGCAGTTCTGGCAAAACGAGTTGGATGACCGTATGGTATGGCATACAAAGAGACCACGCTCCGTATACCTGCCATAGTTGCCCCTCAAACTGACACACAGACAACACAAGCGTCGAATAACTCGATGGTCATAGGCTTAGGCCATGATGATCAGTGTATGCTGTAGGTAGCGCTCGCTGTGAAAAAGATCGGTCTAAGGAGCAATATCATCAAGCCAGCTCTTCCAGAGTACAGACTCTTCCTCTTCAGAAAGCCGCGGTCAAGCGAGATGTCGTTGTCCAAAGAGGTCTGTGTGCTGCGACTCGTCGCTTCCGAATGATTGACTTCCAACGGCCCTGTCTGCTCGGTTGGGCGACTTCACGGGCAGGTGCATGAGGCCTTACCTCGTGAATAAGGTGAATTTGGAACGTCGAATGATCATTAACATATGCCGATCCTGGGAGAAAGACGTTGTCGTCTAGATACGCAGTAAGAGTGGGGCTCTTAGATGGAAGTGGTCGTCTGTAGTTGAACTTATCCGTCCGATTGAAGGCAAGCTAGACTAGCGTGAGTATCGGAGTATGGCGTATCCTGCTTCCATGTCGTCCTGGACAAACACGAGTCGTCCATCGTAGACGGAGACAAATCATTCGAGACGGTGGCTTGCAGGCCCTCGGAGTGATAGGTGGTATTCATCAATGCCCTCCCTAAGCCCACCATGCCGGTAGGCTCGTATCACCTCAATGGTAACATCTCCAATCTCGAAGCGAATAGGCGCCAATCCCTGTGCCCGATGTAACGACGATGCTTTTAATCCAGAGGATTTTCGGCCCGAAAAATGAGGCACGAAGCCTATTACCCTGTTTCATCGTCGCTGTTGCAGCGGCCACAGATCGGTTTTGCTTCATCACTATTCCGTCTCTTAGTCTTACAATTGAGACGTCGGTAGAGCTAGGTCCAGTACTCTAGCGTGTTTCCGGTAGGCTTCGAGTACTTAGCCGTGCCGTGTTTCTTTTGATGCCTCGCTTTATTGGCTTACAGTCATATGTTATTGAATATATGGAGCCTGGAAAACGTCCAAGACATCAAATAAATTGAACATTTGGGACCAGAGCTTACCACATGCAGTCCTGGGGCAGATTGAGGTTTCACCAGCAGGTTGTACGTCATGTGGGGACCCCGCTTTTTGGCCACCCTGCAGACTACGGCACTGAAAGGTGCACAGGACTCCGAACGATCCCAGTTTTGAATATAGTGTGGCTATGATCTGGTACATCACTGCAAGGAAGTCTCGCCGATGACATAAGCATCGATTCGGTTAGGAAGGTGGTATGCACAAGACTTGGAGTTTACAACCCATAACCCCTTTATCAACATTGAATCATCTTCACCGTGTCGCGTAAAATTAAAGGTATGGATGTAGAGACATAATCCATCGTAGACAGTCTAGAAGATGGCAAAACAATATAACTCAGCAAAACTTGGGTTAGTGACATGTCAAAAGAGCCCATGTAAGTTGAGATAAATGACATAGATTTTGCCCCCTTTTCTCAGCTATACTCAATATTTTCTCCCACCCTTCACAGAACCTCAATTCATATCCTTCCTATTGATAAAATCATCACTAACAATGCCCCCATCAGTAACCCCTCCAACCTCACCAAACAGTCCAACACCACAGCTTACCTACCACAAACGCCAAATTACTAGCGAAACCAAAGGTACTTATTCCACGCCCAACAAAGATCCGCTCATGAAAGCTCGGGGGGAACTCCGTAAACCGCTCACCAGCACCATAGTTGCGTACCAGCGCTCGCAGTACGTCGCCCTGAGACTTTTGTAAAACTTGCTTAGAAAGGCTTCATGGCCGCTTTTCCATCAATGAATACGATAGTGATTATTCCAAGGGCGGGGAGGGGAGGGGAAAGATCAAATGTGCTGCTTGTGAATCCCTATGCGTATTCCGGAGATTTCCCTTGTCTTTCTACGGACTATGTCGGGTTGTATCGTACAACGTGATTCAACAGACCTTCTCAGCTTGGAGCGTTTAAATCTGTGCCCATCGGTTCTATCAATCCTCTTTTTCAGGTTGGTAGAATGGTGGGATCTCACAGCCACCACCAGCACATCCAATATGCACCAAATAATCTCAAGCGTCGTTCTTTCGACCAGAAAATGGGGACAAAACGCGTATATACGCGTCAACATGCCCTTCTTGGGTGGAAGTTCCCCCTGCGTCGTATCCGTCTTTCCTCGTATGGGAGTTGGCGTGTTTCATAATATATCCGAACCCGCCATGTCGGATGCGCTCCGCAAGCGAACGCAGACGTGGATGGCAGACGTGCTGTACAAACTGTATGTGCTGGGGAAGACAGTCACCGGCCGTGTCTTTTCTGTTGAGAGAGTGGGGTGTCTTTTACCAGGTTGCCAAGATGAGTGGTGATAGTGGGTGCTGTGCATCAGCATGGACTGGTTGGGGCCTCAGGCCTCGTATCGCGCATTATCATTGCTTCGAAAAAGTCAGCGATAATCACGTACGTGTTGGTTTATACGATTGGTGTCGCTTCGTGTCGTTCCCATAGTCTCCCCGTCTCTGTTGAGTGTTCGTTGTGATTTTTTGTTCCTTCTCTTTCTCTTTTCTTCTTCCGGTGCGAGATCAGATGTGGAAGATAGCGATGGATAACACTCATTTTCGGGCAAGATAATTGGACTCCTTCTCGGCCTACAGGACTACATGATTCGTCTTTGACAGAGGAACTACGCAAAACCGCAGTCCAAAGTAAACCTACATTCCTTACAAGACGATCTTATGCGCGTTGCCATCGCAAGCAAGTCTACACACTCCTTTGGAAACATCGACAAACGAGTCACCACACTAAAGACAGGTTCTTCCAAACCACACTTCAGGATATACAGCGGACGTTATCCTTCATACGTTGAAATCACCAACAAAACCTACGCTCTTCAGCACATCTAGGACGAAGCCACGCAAACCCACTTTTTCCAAACGACACTTCCAAGCGACGCCCCCTCCGCTGCCACAACCAAAATGTCTCCTCACAGCCCCAACACCGACCCCAACACCGAACCCAACTGCTCCTCCTCCCCCTCCATTACAACCACCGCAACAACAACCAGCCTACCAACCGACTCCCCACCCCCCTACACCCGCACCGACCCGCAACCGCAGAAATCCAACTCCTCTCCCCCAGCCTACCTCCCGCACCTCATGCCGCTCCCCCTTCGCCAACTCCGTCAACACTCACAACGCCAACATGCCCACCCACGCCCCCGAGCCCGCGACTCAGATCTAGAATCCCTCACCGAGTTCCTCCCCTGGATAACGCACTCACCCACCACCACAGCCTTCACCCCGCCCACCACCTCCAACGCCACACCCCAACTACAACCACAACCAGCACGACCACGCCCCACACTAGCACCCTTGTATATTCCTCCACCAGTCCCAGCAAGCACAGCAACCGAAGCAAGCCCAACAGAAACAAACATCCCGTTTACAAACCACTATGTGTTATCTACGCAATCACTGCACATGTACCAACAGCAGAGTTTTGCGGGGAGTACACGAACGCTTGTGACACCGCTTCGGCCTTCACCACATCGAGCCTCCAGATCCACAGCACCACGGGGCGCGAGAAACGCACCCGGTGGTGTTCGTACCGCGAGAGTAGTTTTCATTGAAGACGAGGGTGTAGTGAGGGAGAGGGATGGAGTGGGTAGGGATATGAGTATGAAGAAGAATAAGGGGGGTAGAGGGAGTTTGGGACTGAGTATATGTTCTTGGGTTTTGGTGGGGTTGGGGATTATGGCTATTGTGGGGTTTATTGTTGGAACGGTGTTTATGCTTAGGGAGAAGGCGGGGTGATTGATGGGGTTTTAGGTGGATGGATAGATGACGACACATGTCTGAATTAGTCGGGCTATATGTCATGGAGGGAGGTGTTGGTTTTTCTCATGTCAGCGAATTTGATGTTGTTCCAGTCGTACTTTTCATTTCTTTGTATGTTCAATCACCTCAAGAGCCGAAAATGCATGTGGGAAATGGATCCAATTCAAGACTAACAAAAGTCTGGTACAATTACAACCAAGCCAGCTGGGTGTCAAACATACTTGGTGTATGGGTAAGCACCTAACAGGTGTGTTTGGCGACTACAATGGCCTCGATACCCTGGTATATCAAGTATTTCCAATGGAGGTATTCACCAACGCCATAGAATTGCATCTACGTTTGCCAATTACTGCTAGTGAAACAGGTCTTGGGCTGCGGCAGCAGTTGCCTGGGCTTGTGCCTTGGCTGCCTCGCTTGCGGCAGCCATGGCAGCGGAAAGGTCGTTGTCAACTTTTTGTTGCGAAGAACTGTCGGGACGGTTATCACCAGTTCCCTCTCGCTCTCCAACTGCGGCTGCGGCGAGATGCTGTAGACCAGCCATGTTGGGTTCCAATGCCGGACTGGCTTGCTCGGAGGCACTATAAGGTGGCGTGGAGGCCTTCTTCTGGTGTAACAGATCCCTAATTGCTGTTTCCCAACCGAAGCCATCCGAACTCCGATGAATGATCTGTCCATTCGACAAGGCGTCCGTCATCTCCTTGATACTCGCATGTGCGTCGACTTGCATCTCAACTCGGTCGGAAAGCTCGGTAAGTGAGGTAGCAACCAGTGCGGCAAAGATGTGGTGTAACGGTGTTATTGCGCCGCTCGCCAGGTTGCCGAGGAGTTCTTTGGCAAGGTGGAATACTTCAACCGAAGGAACGTTGTCTAGTGAAAGTCGTGCTATAAACAAGCGGAGATACTGGTGTGCGAGGTGAGGCGGAGAATTCCGTGTCAGAGTGGTTAGTTCGATTGACTGCTTCAGTTGGTCGAGCGTTCCGCTGAGATACTCCGATTCGGCAGAACCAGGCTTGAGCGCTGAGAAGGCAAAAGCTGGCTCAACATTCAGGATACTGCCTGCTCGATTGACGTACGCTATTCGTCCTACGACTTGGGCGGTACCTATCGTAGGTTTAGTCAAATATGCCACGGGAAAACAAAAGAGAGTTTGTACTAACGCGCAAGGTAATAGCCGACTTCCCCTAGTGCCGAGTAATCGTCACGGGAAAGGGTTCCAGCATGTCGCCGGATCATCATGTCCTTGGACCGACTAGAGGCGTGGAATCGATCTAAAATGAAGGCGGTCCAATATACGCGTCGTGCTGTCTGGAATACTTCTTGATCCTGCTCTTTGACTGCAGTCATGGTTCTCGAGTCGTTTATTCCTGCATCAACGATACACGCCGAGATCCTTGCCAATAGTGCGGTTGTACTGCCCACAACACCCGGCCCTGGCCTATCAGACGCCACAGCCAGCAGTATCATGGACTGACACCAGACTAACTGGTTGTAGAATTGGCGTGAACTATCTGTGTCGTGTAGGCAGTAGTTGGCTGCATCAACCGAGGTGAAGCATTGTTGCAACAATTGGTTCAAACTGAGTTCAATGGGTGGTAGTGATTTTGAGGCAAGCGATCGGATACAACCTTCCAAGGTCAAAAAGAACGTTTCTCGTAATTTCGGCGGACAATTTGTGAGGCGATTTAGTTGCGACTCGTGATGGGGGAGGATGGGTAGTGTGGGGTGTATGATGTTGTAGTAACTGGAAACGATTAGTTCAATGTCTTCGTTTGTATGATATATACGTACGCCTTGAGGGTTTCTTCGTTTGAGCCTGTGATAAGACTACCGCCCAAGCTCAAGTCGCCAAATGAGGTGCGGCGATTGCCGTTCAGCGATGATTCTTGATCCGACAAAACAGGCACACCATGTGTCTCGCTTGAGCCCCCGTTTCCGCGATCTTGGCCAGACCAATTGGGACGACTGAAGGCCTCGTGGAATCCATCTGTCATGGAATGCGTACGCTGGCGCTTAAACTGCGGCGGGCTCTGTGTATCCGCAAAGGTCTGGTCCCCCAACGACCCAAAATCAAAGTTATGCGACTGGTTGGGAGGATGGTGGATCTGGCTTTCGAGCGAGTTAAGCCTATCGGCGAGCTCCTTGATGTAACTGAGGCATATTAGTATCGTGCCAAGTCAACACAAGGTATACGCCTGGGTGTCATAAAATGCTTGGGAGTAAGCACCTAATAGGCGTGCCTGGCGATTACAGTGGCCATTTTTCACTAGTATGTCAAGTATTTTGTGACACCCGGGATATATACACACATATATATTGAACAGGACATACCCTTTGCTAGGACCACGCTTCATCGGTTGGCGGCTGAACTGACATCGTGCTCCTGTCCTCTTGCAACTAGAGCATGCTTCAGGGCCGTTTTCGCTAGTCGCGTCGCATCGAATCTACCCGTTGTAAGCGCCACACGTGAAATCGAATCGATGCCTTGCGCACCTTTTTTCGTCGGCACTCGTCACAGGCGCGTGAGACTTTGGACCGCTTGCGACTCGGGTCGTTGGGGTCGTACGGGTCATGATGTCCCTCCAAGTTCATGACATGCTGCGCCATTTGCTGGGGAGAATGGGTTGGACGCGCCGGGCCCTGGAAGTGCGGATGTGCGCCCATGGCCGGGCCCATGTGAGTTAGCGGCTGATATTGGGGTTGTTGTGGACCAGCTGTATGCATCATGTCGCCTCCCTCGCGCAGCTGTTGGAGATTCTCTTGTAGGCGCAGTTCGGGGTCAGTTAATTGATGTTGGGCCGGCGGGGTGCCATTCTGACTTGGATATTGGCCTGGACCTCCACCCATTTGCGCGTCGGGATCCGCGTAAGTGGCCATGAGGTAGAGCGAGGTTGAAAGAATATGTGATGAATAGCGTATGCCTAAGACTCGAGGGAGCAGCTTCGACGTCGTTACGCGATCGCGAGCGAAGTGGTACGGAGTTGTTACACGAAGGAAGCGTGCACTTGGGCGGAGGAGGGCAAGGGCACAAGTTGTGCGAGCTTTGCGATTTTTGCGCTAGCGTGGACCATGGCAAGAGAGGAGGGCTGTACAACGGGGATTGGAGAAAACGGCAACAACATTGTGGTGGTTGTAATCTACAATAAATTCTGAATCGTCCCTTGCCTGCAGCGGTGATGGGAAGCTACTGACTGGGTCGATGTAGTCGCTGTTCGGATTATCTCTTCCACCGTACGCTCCGGGACGGCTGCGTGGGAGCACCTTGCTCGGCCATCACCAAGATTGCTTCGACGCGCAATCAAGTTAGCGAAGAGAGACAGCAAACGACCGAGACTTGTCCAGACCAGACTGATGCAGGCATTTTACAAGTTTTGGCGTTGGTTGCTTACATTGGCTCTTGTGCGGCCCCGTCGCACTCTACATGTACCGCGTCCATGGACAAAAGTAAAATTTAATCACATGTGAAAGTAGTAGTATTTACAGCATGATTATACTTTGACTAGATGTTGGCTAGAGAAGATACGGCAGCTGATTATAATGTAGACTTGTTCACGGCGGTCTCGATCAGACGCTTTTAGGGTACAGCGATGAAGCTACATTTACGGAACTACATGTCATAATCGCCCGGTCCTCTGTAGCGTCTCTACCAGTCCATGGGTGATGGTTGTCAGGTGCTGCGTGTAAGGCCCCACAGTAAGTACAGTAGGGTGTTGGTAGTAGGAGTGTCGGCGACATAGGGCCGTGGCATGCAAGAGTGTCATATAGGGACGAGGACTGATCAGAGTAAGCGCGGAGGAGAATATGGGGTTCCGTTTCATGGAGAGGGTCTGGTAGCAGTTTGCCGAGCATTCAACAGGCTTGGACAATAACGTGGATGATTCTTCTTTGGCGGCACTCAATCCCGGGACTATTTCTTCCAAAGCATGACACGGCATCGGTGTCGCGCTGGACCGGTGTCCAGATTGCCATGCCATGTACGTCCATGTACAGACGTGGACATGCAAGGCGAATGTACCTGAAAGTGACGGACTGGGTCAGCGCAAGCCCTGGTCGGCTTGGACGCCCACAGTACTGATGATCTCCACTTGGCAACGGGCACTGAAGGCTCCGCGTTACGGACAGTGCGGCAAGAGGAACAGGCTGACTCGACAAGCGAATCGCGTCGGCAATGAAACATGCGGTGCGTGGAGTCGCGCATAAATTGGCGGCAGGCTGGAGAGGCCGGCGCAACAGAAGGACGTCGGAGCAGTTCCGAAGCTACTTGCGGCCGGTGTAGATAGCCCCAAACCCTGCAGGTCAGGACTGCAGGTCAGGATGCACTTTGCTGAGGACGCGAACGGGGACAAGCGAAGTAGGCGCAGGCCGACGACGCAACAAGATTATGCGGTGAGAGGGTGCCAGTGCTGGCGCGGGCGGGCGTATGCCAGAAGACTCGAGTGAGTGGGGGATCTTTGTTAGCATGCAGGTCGCGCTAGCCCTGCAAGCAAAGACGGCCGTCCCGCCTCAATCATGGTGAAGGGCATGGGGCTACGGGCCTACGGGCTGGTCTGCACTGCGTCTTGCGTCTGCGTGTCTCGGTCGCTGCAGGCTGATCGAGGGTGCAGATTCGTACAGACGACCAGAAGAGGGCCTGAGCGCTCTTGCCGATGACGCTAACCCCGGCCAGCCAATGACACCCGCCGTAGGCCCGAGTGCCTTCCCTCTTAACCTGTTGCTTCCCGCTTCGCTCTTTCTCTCTCATCACTACTACAACCCGCACAACACCACACTGTTTACTGGTCTGGCAGTTCTCTAGGAGCTCCGTCTAACGCTTTCGGCCAGCGCCTCTTGCGCTCGGTTCCCCCCTTTGATCTCCTGTACCACTTGACTCTCCACTCTCCACTCTCCACTCCATCTCATCCTGTTGTCTCCGGCCTTCGACACGGCGTTCGGTCCTTCAGTCCAGCATAGCATTGACCACGATACCCTCTGGCGTTTCAATCAGCATATATCAGCATATCTCAGCATATACTTCCTAGCTCTGCCCTTCTTGCCTGTATCTTTATTCCAAGCCTCGCACCTGACCTGGGTGTGGCCCTATTTGCGTCATTCTGTTCTCCTTTGAGCCCTTTGGCTCCTCGCTTTACCATCCACCACCCAGCTGCTCGTAGCCAGCTGCGACGACCGCGCTCGGCCGTAGTCACCCCGGTATGCCTGTTATTCAGGGAGAAAAATGGGCTTGCTCGTCCTGCATCAAGGGTCACCGAGTAAGCGGCTGCAACCACACTGGTATGGTGCCCACCAGATGCCACTGCAAATATTTATTTGGAACCATGTTGCTAACTGGCCCGGAAAGATCGAGACCTACACCACATCAACCCCAAAGGTCGTCCTGTCAAGCAATGCGAGCACTGTCGCGGTGCGCGCAAGTCAAAGTCCCACCACGCCAAGTGCGACTGTGGCGACAAGAAAGACAAAGACCTGCACAAGGACAAAGGCGACAAGAGTGAGCTCATAGCTGGCTTAGCCGCCTCCGTACCATTCTGACGTAACTCTAGCTCACGACAACCGCTGTCAGTGCCACTCGGGCGGAAAATGCCTGTGCGGTACCAAGAAGGAGGACGTTGAGCTCAAGGTGGACACTACCCGCCAGACACTCCACGACGCCCGCGCGAAGCCCAAGCTGACTGGGACGCATTCCGAGAGCCACTTGACCGTCTTCGCAAATGGCCATCACAAGCCGTGCCATCGCAACAACAACTCGGCTCACATCTCCGGTTTGCCGTACAAGATCCCCCGTCCACACACGCTCCATGGACACTCGGCTTTTGCCGCATTGTCGCAAGACAAGGGTTCCCGTAGCAAGCCTGAGGCATCTACCACACGCTCCATGGACACGCATTCGGTGTCGAACAATGACTACCACACCATGTTCGGATCCACACAGCGATGTGCTGACAAGCCCCTGACGCCGAATGCAGCTGGCAGCCTTGACGCCTTCTCATTCCCGGATATGTTTAGCAACCAGACTGCCGTCTACTCGCAAGAGGGCGCGTCTCCTGACAGCAATGTCAGCGACACCTTCCCGAGTCAACAGTGGCCATGGATCAACAACATAACCCCAGTCAACAGCACATTCGGCGTGGGCAGCCTGTCCACTTCACCGTCGCAAGATTGCCTACCCAATCTGGAAGCTGATTGGGTTACCTCATCTGCCGGCTTTGACCCCATATGGTCTGCTACAGATCTCCCGCTGGATCCGAGCAAGTTCAACGACGATCTCGCTCAGCCAATTTCGCATAGCGGAGAGTCTAAGCAGAGTGGCCCAGGCCTCACTGTGGCTTCGTCAGCCCATTCGGAGATCGGTGACACAGCCCTCTTCGGTGATTTGGATTTGAAGCCTCAGTCAACCGCTAGCGAAACACTGTTCTGGGAGGACACCCCTGCGTACCGTTTCAATTCCTCGGTACCGAGTGAGTCCGTCAACGCACCTGTTCCCATGGCCACTACGGCATCCATGCTGGGCTTTGATCCCATGTATGCCAAAAGCATTGCTGCGTCCGCCGCTATGACGAGCACAGCCTCATCTGCCTTTACCGGATCGGCTGCCCTAGCCATGCCTAGCAGTTTCGAAGATGTTGTTCCCCTGGAACCATGGTCTCTAGATCAGAGCAATGTTGGCTTCAACGCCGCCATGAACATTTTTGACTCGTCTTCTTATTCCAACAACGCCTGGTATTAGACGGCTGCGAAGTAACAGTATGCTTGTCGCGCTACTGTTCCCTTTGATGACGCACATGATTGATGACGCTGCTGGTGCGAAATGATACCAAAACGCCCTAGGCGATCTCTATTCATACCTTCATTTGGTCCTTGACGACCACTTTTTTCTTCTTCTTGACCCTTGGTCGCCTGTGTATATCCTCATGACCCGGTCCGAACTCATTGCTGATTGTGTTCGAGGCTGTTTTAAACAATTTCCAGTCATCCAAGTCATCGCTGTCGGTTTTTAGAAGGGGTGGCCCCTGCTAGGTACACAAAAAAAGAATACAATAGAAATCTGAAAACACTGCATATTCCACCCTTGTGCCTTGTTGCTGAGGCATACTCGCACGGTGACGTCCTGGGCTTGCTTACCGGCTGCTGCCGCTTGCTGAGGTTCGCTGCTCACACACACAACCTTGGACTTGCTTGTGTGTGTGTCAGGGATCCCACGCTCTCCCGCTCGCCCTGCAGCAGCGCAAAAGCACACCCAGCACATGCAAGCAAAGCAGAGATTTTCGCTGACCTTGGCTTCTGTTGATCGGTTTCCGTACGCTGGGTGGCTAGTTAGACAAGGATGGCGGTTTTCCAACTCCAAGAAAAAGAGAAGATGCTTCAACGGATGTGTAAACCCGCCAGCCGCCTCGCATCTCTCACACACAGCCCCCCGAATCTAGGGTCCCATCCCATCCCCGTGCCGTACGCAGACATGGGATGAGATGACATGATGTAGTCACATCACCACATGACGTTTTCATGCAAAGTGGAAATATCTAACAACACACACATACCTACCTACATACGTAACTCGATCCATCCATCCGTCACTACGGTCATCTTCGGTCACCTTCGGTACTATGTCTAGTACATATCCATCACATGGTGTCCAACACCCAGCACTACCTAGGCGGTAAATGCATGCGCCAAGGACGAGCGACAGCGCTCGTCGCGCCGTGGCCGTCAAGGGCAATGAATGAACTGTGATCGCAGTATCATCCCGAGGTACGTAGGATGTTAGTCTGGGGATCTCGGGAGAATTCAGGCTGGCGATAAGTAACATAAAATAACATACGTACTTGGCTTGCTGGCTGCTAGGGGGATAATACGAAACGGAGTGGATGGCTGGGCGTGCGGGCGTGCCGCGGCAATGGTGAGAGTGAGGCGGCTGGTGCAGTGAGCTTGCCGTGCGGCATGACCACGGGATGGCGAGGGGTGCCTGGGTTGCGGAGCTGGCTAAGTGGTGGGAGTTGTGACGTAGGGAGTGTGTATGATGATGGTGATGTTGTTGTGGTAGTTGTAGTTGTTATCTACGAGAAAAGTGCTTTTTGTTTGGTTCGCAGATTGTTGCTTGGAGCATCATGTGTGCTAAGCACCGTCAAGTTGTGACAAGAACGATGAAGGAGGTGGTTAAGCTTAATTGGAAGCATACCAAAGTGCGTTCTAGTACTGCATCCAAGCCCGTCTAGAGATACAATACTTGAAATGGTATGCAGCACTATACTATCACGGAACAAGCACAAAGCCGCGCAAACCCACTTTACACACATTTGCATCTACATACACTACATGTGTCTCTATCAACAAAGACACAAACATGTACAGCACCATATTGTATCCCCTATCCCATCTTCCCATCCTATGTATTCCATATCCTCCCCATCCCTCGCGCACCCCCACCTCGTATCTCAAGCGCCCCAATAGCGAAAATCACGCAAAACATGCACGCACAACACAAAAACCACCACGGGCCCATTAGCCGCGGACAGGCCCGCCACGACTGCCTCTTTGAGTTTAGTGTCTCTTGTTCACAATACGGCTTTGTATGGGATTTTGTAGGTAGGCTGTATGTGGTATGTACATGCGCCGGGGGCAGGGTGGCTTAGCTGGGAGGGGAGGTGAATGTGTTTGGGGGTTTTGCGATCACGATCGTAATGGGATGGCTTGGGGAGGGAGATGTGGATAGGATTGCGAAGCATGTGAGGCGAAGGTAAGTACAATGGGGACTGCCGGTGGTGGGGAGTGCTCGCTAGACACCCAAGAAGCGAAGTTAGCCGCAGCCAAGACGGGGGCATTTGTGTAAGAAAGGAAAAGTGGAAAGCAATCTTTTGCTTCAGCATCAAAGACAGGAAGAAAGAAGCGAACGAGCGAGCGAGAGAAAGAGACGCGCGATACTTGGTCAGACATCTCGCTTTTCCTCTTTCCTTCCTCATCCTCACGATATCAACGCCATATGCCGATCGCAACTGCCCCCCCCCCCGGAGCATCGGACATTCGGTTCGAAATTCGGAGTGAAAGAGAGAGCCAAGCGTGCGTTCCTGTATGTAGGTAAGGCGGTCTTTTGCGCCCGCGCTGCGCTGCAGGGTGGGTTGGGGAATGACGTAGCTGACGCGGACCCTGTGGTCTTGGTTCTTGTCCTTTATGCTGTCATCATGTGTCCATGTGTGTGGCTAGCGGGTGCGTCGTTCAATGTGGTAATGGCGGCAGGCCCGTATTCGGGGCTGGTTCCGCCGCGGATCGCGATGGGCGGTGCTACATACGTATCTTGAAGGTTTTTTTCTTCACTTATGGATGCAGGATACGTTGAGTTGTGCGGCTGAGATGATGAGTGGGTATTGTAGGTGGAGCAGGAGGATTTTGGGTTCATTACCGGCACGGCAATAAAGTGTCAATTGTGGGCTGTGGAGTACGTAGGGTGGGTAGGCTAACTGATGTGCTTACTGCTATCTTTCCTTCTTTTCCTCCCCTTCATCCGAGGGTCCCGTTCGTTGGTTTCGCGATCGCAGCGAGCGCAGGTACCATCAGGTACGTATGTACATGTCACTGTATGCATGCATCACACAACGCGCCTATGTTACCAAAAATACGCAATCGTCGTCCTGTCGCCATGAATTTCCCTTTTGCACTATCGTCACAATCAGCCTCTAGCCTCTAACCCTTCATGATCGACAATAAGCCCACCAACAGCGATTAACGTGATCAACTAGTAAACAAATCAACGGTCACAACGCTGTCATCAGCACCACTAAGAACCCTACCTGTACCCCAGCTCGCGCAATCCTACCGTTTTTCCTGCCCTTTTTTAGTTGCTTCTTCCATCCTTCTAGCGGTCAAATGTCATGCATGGAAGGTGAATAGAAGGACTGGGCTGCGCTGACTCACCAATGGCATGGCATGTGGAGAGTTCCTATTTGCCTAGGCGTTGCCCTTGCTTGCAGATTGATAGACGTCTCGGAACTCTTGCAGATTGATGCAGGTTGGTGGTTGTTGCATTCAGGATGCTACTGCGAACACGACAGGGATGAGAAGGAGGTGCATGCGAGCGTGCTCTGGGCTTGGGTAAGACGGTGTTGGCACCGGCGCTGTGTAACGTCTATGATAGGGCTGGCTAGGATGATGTGCTTTTTCTATTATGTGCATGGATCGTGAGGCTGAGTTGGAGTGTGGGGTTGTGGTGAAGGGTGTGTATTTGAAACTCTGGTCTGCTGCCTCGGTACTCTTTCTATCTTTCCTACAATCGTGAGTCGTGTTGTGTTGTGTGTTGTACAACAAGGCTGATGTGAGGTGACGATCTTGTCTACATGCCTTCTTTCTCAATGCTGCCATCACACAAACTCCACTCCCAGCATTCAACAATATGCGTATCTCGTAAGTATTTATCCCTCTCCTGGAATGTGTTACAGGACACATGTCTTCCATCTAAACCTACTAGGTAGAACCGAGATCTAGATCCCATCCTCGTGACCAAGCCCCTCACTCGTTCCGCCGCATGCCGCGTCCGCTCCAGAGCTTGGTCGGATAGCTCACTCTGCTAGCAGAAGACGGGATGCTTGGTACGAGAGAGAGGAAAGGAATCCGGATGGCGCACTGTTCTGCCAATCTTTCTATTCGGGGATACGTAGTAATCGCCGTCTTACTTGGCCCGTCGGTGAGGCTAGGGCTTATTGTGGTAGTTGCACACGACGACGGTCCGTTGCTTACCCGAGGAGGAGTTGAGGACATTATACGGTGAGTCTTGGACTTGTTGCGCCACAGCGGTGATTCGGGGTGCGAGTTGTGGGGTTTTCCGGGGTAGTCTTGAGGTGTGTGGAGGCTTTGGGGTGGCTTAGTTGGATGGTACTCTACCTTGGTACTTTTTGAACTCTGTGATTTTGAGGTGATGGGGAAGCAACGTCATAATGGCTTTTCGTGTGATTTTTGCGTATGTTCTCTATCTGATTTTTTTTCAAAACATTGACTGAACGCACTCATGTTCTCTCTGCACTCGCATATATATAGTCTCCATCCTCCCTTTCCAAGCCATTCCTCACTACCTCTCCTTTCCTCTATATTCCAAAAACCAGGACGCATTTCACGGATGCTGTTGCGAAACTCCAAAAGAACGTCTAGATAATGTATGAAGAAGAGGACCAGTTTTTCTAAACACACTCAAAAATCCGTGCATCATTCTCCAAAACCAACACAGTGCCTTCTAAAATGCATGAATATCAAGATATGCTAATGGTTCTCAGTTCTTCTGGACTCTAAATTTTCATGGCCACAAACCATGTCCACTTTTCGAGAAACACAAAAAAGGCGCATTCCTAGGATATATGTCCCGCATCATACCCCTAGCGCGATCGATCTTCGCAAAATAAATACCGCACTTTCTGCCCCCTTCTTCCTACCATCTTTCCTCTATTCTTTCGAAATTATTCTTAAAAGACTTCTCGGTTAAAACGATGTTCTCCTGTGTCTTTCTTCCAAAATCTCAATACATACGTCACCATGTGTTCCGGGTGTTTTCTGTCCTCTGATATTTAGAAGAAAATGACACTCTTACACATGACCTTCCTAACTTCTTAAAATGAAAGGTATGAGATTAAATGCCTCGATACTGCGTCTGGTTTTCTCTAAAATACAATAGAGCACACGATACCGCGATGTGAAACCGCCGGACTTCTGGCATATCTCTGTTATTCCTATTCCGGTTCTACTTTTCTACTTTTCAAAAGCACCCAGAATATCGAGAATGACTTTCTTCCCTCTCACTAAAACTGCGCTGATACATGCAAACGGCTCTCTTTCCGGTTCAAAATTCGACTGTCGAGGATTCCATGACTTGCTTAAGTCTAAGGACTGCGGTATATAAACTAACTTTTGCGCCGCTCTCTCCTTCCCCTCTTTACCACTACGACTCTTTAAATGTTCCTAAAAACATACATCCATTGGAACGTATTTTTCTCTTTCTCTTTTCTGCGTATTAAAACAAAGGGCTTTGTCTATCTTTTCAAAATAGAGAGGCGAAGCGCTATGTGTTTCTCCTTTCCTCTTCCTACTCCTACCCCAAGGAATTTATCCGCCTTCTAAAGTATTGGACAATCATTCCATGTCTTCCCCTCTCCTCTCTCTTCCCACACCTAAATTTCCCTCTTTCCCGCCTTTTGAAACCTGCACATCTTCCAAAAAGGACTTACGTTGAACGAATGTCGTTGTCGCCCGGGACTTACAAATTGAAATGCCCATACGGGATGTTCTGCGCGACTATTAAAATCCATCCTACTCTATTTCCCTGACGCGGTCTTTGCGAATCAAAACATTCATACAACGAACGATACCCGTTTCCGTCTCTGCTCTTCCTAAGCATAAAATCGGCGACTTGGGTTCTTTCTACTTCTTACATCTTACTTTATTTCTGGAATACTAAAATTCCGAAATCATGCGCGTTATGAGCTGTGTCTCTTTTTCTGGAAAATCAGCCGGTCAAAGACGTCATGTCGACCGGCACTTAGAAACTCCCACATATTAGTCTAAAAACTCTCAGTTCCATGTTCATGGAGAAGCACTCCCTCTGTCCTCTGGGCTAAAATACCCCATATTTCCAACCTTGCCGTACTTATATAATCTCCTCTGTCCTTTACTTACTACCACATCTCTCCTCTACTCTCTTCGTTCTTTTTTTCTCATATTCAACTATTCCCCACGAATGTTTCTCCAATCCTTCTGTACCAAAAAACATCACCTTCTCATAACATGTCTTTCTCTTCTTTCTAATAATTTGAAAGTATAAAACTTGCGAAAGCGAGATTCTGCTTTATTCTTCTGCCTTTCTCCTCTTTCTTCCAAAAGTACTGGCAGAAGGACCCATGTTTCTCCCGCCGTTTTGCACTAAAATCTCTTTCCCCTGTCAATATGTCTCCCTCCTCTTTCCAACAGTTTAAAAGTATGAAATCACGAAAGTGAAACTCCTCTTTGGTCTTCTATCTTCTCCCTGTTTCTTCTAAAATTAACACCAGACGATGTCATGTTTCTCCCGTCCTTTTGTACCAAAAAAAGCTACACCCCTTCTATGTCACTCCCTTCCTTGCATCTCAAAAACACAGAAATATAAAAGCGATAGTTTCTCTTGTTCTCCTACTCCCTTTTACCTTCCCTCTCTTTCTTCCGCCCTTCTACACTGAAATCAGCCTATAAACGAGTGATACCCTCGTCTTCCCCAGCCCCTTCGAAATACAGAAATATAAAAGCGAGTGTCTCTTGTTATCTTAGTCTCCTCTACCTTCCCTCTTCTTCTTCTAAAATCACAGGGTCAATACCCATGTTCCTCCCGCCTTTCTGTACCAAAACTCGCACAGTTAAAAGCAATACTCCCTTCTTCCACAGACTCTTGAAAACAAAGAAACATAAGAGCGAAAGTCCCTCTTGTTTTTATACTCTCTCATACTTTCTACCTGTTTCTTCTAAAACTACAAGCGAGGCACCCATGTTTCTCCCGCCTCTCCTTTCAAAAGCTTAAAAACAATACTACGTCACAATAATGGCCCTCTCTTTCCTGGCGCCTTGAAAACAAGGAAATACAAGAGCGAGAGCCACTCTTATCTTCCTACACTCCTCTCTCTCTCTTCTTTCTTCTAGAATCGTATGTCCATGCGTTCATGTTTTCCAACCCTTCTTTCCGCAAGGTTCAAAAAAAATGCGTAGGTTTACGAAAAATGTTCC